CTAAGAACATGTAGAACAATTACACGATCTCCTTTAAACATCAAGCCATCATAACCACTTATTTCATCTCTGTAACTCCAATAAGGTCGAATTTCTAAGGGCGTTTCAGGCTTTGTCTGTGGCCAACCATCCATAACTACTCTGTGCAACTGCTGAAGTTCAGCATCCTTCTTGGTCTCCTCAACCAACTTCTCAAACATAGTCTCAGACATCTGACCCGATTCCAGAACATTGACTTCAAATTCATCTGATGGATCGTTTATCTGTGCAGACATCTGTGATCTAGAAAGAGCATCTGCTATCAACAACTGACTCCCAGGCGTATATTTCACTTTAATCGCATAAGGTTTAAGTCTAAGTATCATTCTCTGCAATCTAAGCGGAGCTTGATGGACGGATTTCTTTAGTATTGCTTCTAACGGTTTATGGTCACTTTCCACTATTACTTCGCTTTCGACGCATACGCTACTGGACGATCATTTTGAAGAAGCACTGCACCCATACCTTTCGAGCTGGCATCAACCGACAAGCACACGGATTGTTTCTGATCAAAGAATTTGAGGACTGGTGGATCGACAATCGCTGCCTTTAAAGTTGTAAACGCTTGTCTTTGCTCTTGATCCCAAACCCATTCGACATGTTTCTCCAGCAACTGACGTAGTGGAGCTGTTATCTGTGCCATATTTGGAATGAACTTGGCAACATACGTAACAATGCCCAAAAATCTCTTCAACTCTTCGCAATTTGTAGGCTGCGGCATCTCCTTAATCACTTCAATTTTCCGGGGGTCTGGTTTCAGTCCATCTGAACTCAAAACATGGCCAACATAACTTACTTCGGGGACACGAAATCGACACTTCTCTGGATTCAACTTAAGGTTTTTTATCTCGACAGCGTTCTAAGACCAAACGAAGTCGTTCGTCATGTTTCGTCACGTCTTCTCCCCAGACCACCAAATCGTCCACGATAACTTCGACTCCTTCTATATCTGAAAACATATTCGACATAATACTCTGAAATACTTCCGGAGCAGAAGCTATTCCAAACGGTAATCGTTTATAACTATACCTTCCAAATGGAGTATTAAACGTGGCTAAGTTACTGCTTTCATTGGCCAATTTCACCTGCCAGAAACCATGGTTGGCATCAAGAACACTAAACACTTTGGCATTGGGCATTCTGCTGACAACTTCTTCAACGGTCTGCATAGGAAAATGCTCTCGCATAACCACTTTATTTAAATCGCTAGGATCCATGCGGACTCGAATTTTATTATTTGCTTTTCTGGCGATGACTAAACTATGTACAGTACCGCTCAGAATTAACCTAACACTGCGGTTGCGGTCGTTTTGCGGTTAGCGTGCGGTTAACGTGCGGTTATCGGGCGGTTAACGTGCGGTTAACGTGCGGTTAACGTGCGGTTAACGTGCGGTTAACATGCGGTTATCGGGCGTTTTTTTTGCGGTTTAGCCCACGCATCGGCAAAAAGCTAACCGCGGTTTTAATATGCATTCTAATTCCGAGGATTTCCGACCAAAAGCAGTAAAATATTCGCGGTATAGAATGTCTTCAATAATAAAATGCTAACTCGGGCTATAATATAACAGCTAAGAGAAACCCTAAAGGCTGTGGTGTCAGCTTCAATTATAATAAGGGCTACAGCAGATCGTCGATTATAATAAAGTTTTATAATGAAGGATAGATTGTCAGTTATAATAAAGTTTTATAATGAAGGCTCCAGGTTATAACGCGTGTGTGCCTAAAAGGCCGGGATTTTATTTACCTTTTAGGTACACGCGTTATAACCTTTAGTCTTTATTATATTAAAGAGTTAAGTTAATTTAAGTTGATGCGCGCCAAATTCTTACTTATTCTAAAACATCTATTTAAACTGTAATAAACAAGAAGATCGAGACTTACATATTTGCCTTTACCCTTCGTTTAAACTCTTAGTTATTCCAACAACTGAAGTATTTGTCGAAAGTAAAGAGACAATTCCCTCCCTGGCATAAAGCGACAGCCTCCCCATGCCTCAATGTTTACAAAATATGTCAATATTTATAACTTAAGCAAACACGGAGTTTTTATAATGACCCCTTCGGAAATACACGAGTATTTACGAATGCTGACGAGTATATACGAAGCTTGCGGATCGGTTCGGTTGGGTTGCGGTTAAACCTCACGGTCACCGCGGTTTAACCTCAAAACTACCGCGCTATAACCTCGGTCAAACCTTTAAATCACCGCGGTCATACCGCGGTCAAACCGATGTTCAACCGAGGTTAAACCGCGGTTTTTGTTAGGTTAATTCTGAGCGGTACTGTACCCAAGCGGTGGGTTCATTCTTTTTCTCAATAACCCCCAACTTCTCCATTCGACGCAACTCTTCTTCTAGTGGCTTTCGGAGGGCCATGGGAACTCTTCGAGGAGGATGCACCACTGGAATGGACACCGGATCGATCTTAATCTGGTACTGAACATCTTTAATCTCTCCCAGACCTTCGAACACGTCACTGAATTCTGTTTCGATCTTCGGTGGGTCCACTTCCAAGCTATAAACTCGCTTTACCAACCCGAGTTCTAGACAGGATTTTAATCCTAAAATCGATGGTAGATCTTGTTCAACTAGTACAAAGTCTAACACGGTAAATTTGCCTTTATACTCGCACTCTAAGCTGACTTTTCCTTTCGGAGTTATCATACGGCCATCGAACATCTTCAACTTGCTCTTATTTTTGAAAATTCTTGTATTTGTTAGTGACAATTGCTCAAACGACGATTGCGAAATCACATTACAATCTGCCCCTGTATCTAATTTGAAATTCAAATCCGTTTTTCCAAACTTAAGCTGGACATGCCAGTCATTCTTTGAGCTGCCCTCGTTATTTGACTCTACTGAAAATGTCAATAAATCATCCTCGCTAACTTCGCCGTCTTCGAATTTCCCCAAGACATTCACTTCTCTCGGTCTAGAGTCACGTTGTCGTTGCTTCGCTCGACACACACGCTCAAAATGTCCTGTCTTCTTACAATAGTTGCATGTTTTGCCGAATGCCGGGCAAGATCTTAATGCGTGAACCATACCACAGAATCCACACTTTTCGGACTTTGTTTTTTCACGGCGGCTACCTATCTGCCCTTTTCCTTGATTGGCGTCATATCGAAGAACATTTACCGACTGATTTGCTTCGCTCGACTGCGCCCTAGCATTCATGACTTTAATCTGTTCCTTCGACGCTTCGGCTGCTCTAGCCATACTTATAGCTTTTTCCAGTGTAAGTTTCTCTTCTCTTAACAATCTTTCTTTCACAGTTAAGTCTTGTATACTAAACACAAACTTGTCCCTTACCAGATCGTCAACCGATGTATATTCGCACGATTTTACTTTGTTCTTTAATCTTGTGACAAATTGGTCAACCGTCTCTGAATCTCTCTGCGTAATTTTCCAGAACTGGTATCTCTCGAAGACTACATTTTT